ACAGACCTGCAGCGGCGCGTGGAAGCTTGGATCTGCTGCATGTACAAACCGTTTACACAGCACGAGACCTGACACCATATCTGCAAGACGATGCATTCTTTAGGACTTGGAGTGAACCAAAACAAATCAGACGGAAAATGCATGCACTCCTCTAGCCTTTGACGGCCAAACATTTAGAGAAATGCGTATCTGCAAGACGATGCATGTTTTCCGGTACGTATCTGCAAGACGATGCATAATTTAGGGCTTGGAGTGAACCAAACCCATCGGACGGTAAATGCATGCACTCCTCTAGCCTTTGACGGCCGAACATTTAGAGAAAAGCGTATCTGCAAGACGATGCATGTTTTCCGGTACGTATCTGCAAGACGATGCATAATCCAGGACTTGGAGTGAACCAAAACAAAGCAGACGGAACATGTATGCACTCCTCTAGCCTTTGACGGCCAAACATTTAGAGAAAAGCGTATCTGCAAGACGATGCATGATTTAGGACTTGGAGGGAACCAAAACAAAGCAGACGGAACATGTATGCACCCGTCTAGTTGACAGCATTTCACGGAAAAGAATACTGTGAGAGAACTCCCAATAAACACACACACGCACACACGCACATACACACCTACCCACATACACGCGCGCACTATTTATCTATCTATCTATCTATCTATCTATCTCTCTCTCTCTCTCTCTCTCTGTCTCTCTCTCTCTCCACATATACACACAATGTCTGGAACCATCACTCTCTGTTGTTCGGAACTCGTCATACTTTACATGACGCTTCCGAGGCCACGTCCATCAAGCTGCAGGTGACTCCGTGGACCTTGACCGGTGTTAGGGCTTCGAGTTTAAGGGCTCGGGGCTACCGGCTGTTCCGAGGTGTGCTCCATGGAGCTTGACCGCTGTTAGGGCTTGGAGATTGGGGTTGAAGGGCTCGCAGCTACCGGCTGTTCCTTGAGAGCTCGGACCTTGCAGTTCTCCGCGCTTCGGATTGGCTCGCGGGCTTCAGAAGCCTCTAACATCTCCGGAACGGTCAGAGCTTTCTCGTGTCTTGGCTGTTACGTCTCATAAAGCGGCTGCGTGCAATTTATACAAATTGAATTACCTTCGAGCCACTCGCGCTCCTCTCTCGGCAATTCCTCCAGCTCACGTAGCCAAGAGTTCGATGTCAGGATCATGGCGACGTTGTAGACGTACACACTGTAGGTGAACATGTTTGTTCCAGAATGAGCGAGCGTGACCTCTTCTGTAGATCCCTGGAAAAGGCGACGGTTGCTGAGCACCATAGCCGTCGAAGCTTCGTCATACAAGATGGCTCGATGCAGCAAATTGTCAAAGGCACGCAAATCAGGTTGACTCACTCCACAGCAGTTGAGTTCTAGTGTCTCGCGATGACCGAAGAGACTGCGGGCAAAGATTGTTTTGCCAAGGCGCGTGGGTCCACTTAGTACCAAAAAGCTCCTTCTGAACATGGGTCGGGTAAATTGTGGAAGGAAGTCACGCTGGACTTGCTCGATCACGACGGCCTTTTTCATGAGGGGCTGAAGCTCCTGGAGATCTTGCGCCTTCCTCGCTTTGACGACCTGTGTCTGCACGCATTGGGCATGGAACTTCATGTTGTCTAAGTAGGCTTTCACGTGTTTCTTGCAGCGCAAATACTCCTGCTCCGCAACCTGCTCCGTGATTTTACAGGCCTGCCATAAGTTGGTGATCCAATCCGGAGCAACAGGGAAGGTGGTGAAGGCTGCTGCTGTCGTCGTCATATGAATGGAGCCAGTCTTTGGCACCTGCAGGTAGTAGTGCCCCTGGTCGTAGGCCTTTCGGCAAGCTTTCCCACGGGCTTGCTTGCACTCCACAGACTGATGCGGAACGGCGCCACGAAACAACAGACTGGGCTTCGGCAGCGTCACCGTCTGTCCTTGTTGCTACATCAAGAGCAAAAGGGGCATGGGGGATCATCTGGCCTACCAGGAACACTGTTGACGACAAGTCCTGTTGCATGTGGCTGAAATTTTCACGCTCCATCAAGATTTCAAAACACAAGGGGACGTATGACGAAGAATTCAGAACTTGGATCTGGACAAAAGTTCAGAATAACTGCGCCGGCGCCAAGCATCTGGAGTCAAACATGAGATGGAAGTGGATGCTGGGCGTCAGCGTGTCCAGACTCACAGCTGTGTGCAGCTCACACGCCAAAGTCAACCGATCCATCTTGCTGCTTTGCCGTAGCTGCTCGGCAAAACGTTGGAAATCTCTCCAAAGGGCTGCAACATCGGCATTGTCCTGCAAGAGGCGACACACATCGGCAATCCTTGCGTCGCCTTCTGCCAGCATTGCGCTGGCCCTGACATCTGGGATCTTGGACCAGGAACCACTGTATCTGAACATTGTGCCAGAACCTCGATAGGAAGGCAGCGGCTGCTCGTTCATCACTATAGGCTGTTCTGTACGCCAAGCGGCCAAAACAGCCCTGGCCGCTGCCATGAGATGCACGGGAATTCGGCCCCACATGGCCTCTAGCAATGGAGCTCTCTGCTCCACATTACTAAACTCCACACGCAAGATGTTACGCCGCGCGTGCCCATGTGAGCCTTCCTCGACCATTCTCCTCGCCACCCACGCATCTCGGACCAAGGTCTGCACCTGCGTCCGTGCTTCCCTGGTGTTTGCCCCCTCGGGCGGGCTCTGCTTGCCCTGCAAACGACGACGTTTTGCGGGCAAAAGGAACATGGCTTCGGCAAAATGCCTGCTTCGCATGCACGGTACTCACCAATTAACAGCAGGCTATGGCTTCAAGACCAGAACATGTTGACGATCTCTTGGCCTACGACGTCCAACATGTCATCCTGTGCTGCTCCCGAGAACTGAGGAAGTCTCTGGTTTGGAGGGCCCCGTTGGCAGAATGACTACCGACAAACCCTGGGCTTTAGACGCTGCTTTGACAGGATTCTTCATGACATGATACGCAGCATCCACTGTTTAAGCCTGCGAAACGCTGCGCAGGAACGGAGCAGGACCCAACCTCTACCTATCTGGACCTGCTCTCATTGCAGAAACCACTACCGCAGGACCGCGCAGGACCACGGCAGACCAGAACTGCAAGGTGACACCTGGGGTCCTTCAAAACCGCTGTGGGAGCATAGAATTATTAATCTAAAGCACGGATTTGCAGGACCACGGTTTTTGCGAGGCTTTGCGCTCCTGAAATGTCCCGGCACCGGGCACCGCCGAACATTCTGGTGTATTCTAGTGGTCTCCGGGTCTTTATCCATGAGCTGATTACTCGTGGTCTCCAGTCCGGTTGCGTCTTGGAAACAAATGGCCACTTCATCAACCACGCCCTCGTATAACTCAGGGAATCTATTACAGTCGGGAGGTGTCAGATGCCCTCGCATGACGCAGGAATTCATTACAGTCGGGAGTTCTCTCCCTTTGCTCTTACACACACTGGGGCCGCAGCATGTCTGGCGTGTCATCATAGCCCATCCTGGTCAAGACTTTTGCCCACGTCAGACGGAAGAGTCAGCGAGACATATAGTTTTTTCGCTCTTCCGTGACAGAATGCGCTCTGATCCTCTCACTGCGCCCTCGCAGTCATGCGCACACTTCCTTGCTTTCAAACACTGCCAGGGCCAAGACTCTGTCTGCGATGGCAACAACTTGGACTGCTTGTGCAAAAGTTCCACTCTGCACTCAGGGACTGTTTGCTTGGAAGATCTCAAGAACGACATCAAACTCGAGTCTCGCAGGCTCCCGCGTCCCTCCCTCCCTCACTCCCTGCCTCGCTCCCTCGCACTCTCTCTCTCTCTCTCTCCCTCTCTCTCTCTCTCTCTCTCTCCCTCTGTCTCTCTCTCTCTCCCTCTCTCTCTCTCTCTCTCTCTCTCTCTCTCTCTCTCACTCACAGCAGTTTGTATTGATTGTATTGGTAAACAGAAAAGAAACATCGCAGAATTTGGCCGTAAGGCTATCAAGACAAGTTTCCGAATGCAAAGATAGGTGCGTATCAGTCTTCGTTTGGCCTTGATTTTGCCAACACTTTCGCGGCGCTTCAACAAAGTTTGCCAAGGCATCCGCCGCGACTCAAAACGCGCGCAGTCCCTACCACTGCATTCGGAAAATTGTTTTTAAAGCGTTTCGGACGCATCAGTCTTTGTTTGGCCTTGTTTTTGCCAACACTTTCGCGGCGCTTCAACCAAGTTTGCCAAGGCATCCGCCGCGACTCAAAACGCGCGCAGTCCCTACCACTGCATTCGGAAAATTGTTGTTAAAGCGTTTCGGACGCATCAGTCTTCGTTTCGCCTTGTTTTTGCCAACACTTTCGCGTCGTTACAACAAAGTTTGCCAAGGCATCCGCCGCGACTCAAAACCCGCGCATTCCCTACCACTGCATTCGGAAAATTGTTGTTAAAGCGTTTCGGACGCATCAGTCTTCGTTTCGCCTTGTTTTTGCCAACACTTTCGCGTCGTTACAACAAAGTTTGCCAAGGCATCCGCCGCGACTCAAAACCCGCGCATTCCCTACCACTGTATTCGGAAAATTGTTTTTAAAGCGTTTCGGACGCATCAGTCTTCGTTTGGCCTTGTTTTTGCCAACACTTTCGCGTCGTTACAACAAAGTTTGCCAAGGCATCCGCCGCGACTCAAAACCCGCGCAGTCCCTACCACTGTATTCGGAAAATTGATTTAAGAGCGTGTCGGACGCATCAGTCTTCGTTTGGCCTCGTTTTGGCCAACACTTTCGCCGCGCTGCAACAAAGTTTGCCAAGGCATCCGCCGCGACTCAAAACGCGCGCAGTCCCTACCACTGCATTCGGAAAATTGTTTTTAAAGCGTTTTGGACGCATCAGTCTTCGTTTGGCCTCGTTTTGGCCAACACTTTCGCCGCGTTGCAACAAAGTTTGCCAGGCATCCGCCGCGACTCAAAACGCGCGCAGTCCCTACCACTGCATTCGGAAAATTGTTTTTAAAGCGTTTCGGACGCATCAGTCTTCGTTTGGCCTCGTTTTGGCCAACACTTTCGCCGCGTTGCAACAAAGTTTGCCTCACTCACTCCCCCACTCACTTTGTCGCTCACTTCCTCCCTCGCTCACTCACTCCTCTCTCTCCCTCCCTGACTCTCTCCCTCCCTCCTGCCCGCCCTCCTTCACCCCCTGCCTACCCCCGCCCTCCGCACATTACTGTACAGTAGTGTCGCGCGAATTCCTTGTTCAAGATCAATAACTGCAATGATCTCTCCGCATCACGAAGCATTTCAAACAGGAATTCGGCCTTGAGCGCATCAGTGTAGCGCAATCACTGTGACATTCAGAGCGCTGGGCAGAAATCTCAGCGGCTCGCTCACTCACATGAAAGCGGATAGCCCAGAGCCTCCAAAACCCCTTAACTAAGGAATGTACCTTAAATTATAATCGGATCCCTAATATGATTGAAGGTACATTCCTTAATCAAGGGGTTTTGGAGGTTCTGGAAGTACGTAGGGACAGTGGGAATCTCTTGACGTTCAGAGCACTGGGGCGCGGCACCTTCTGACCATCACAATGCTGCGACCTGAAGAGTTGCCCGTCACCCCCGCTGTTTGCCCGGGCTTGCTTGAATTGCATCACTGTGACATTCAGAGCACTGGGCAGAAATCACGGCGGAATTGCATCACTGTGACATTCAGAGCACTGGGCAGAAATCACGGCGGCTCACTCACTCACGTGAAAGCGGCTAGTACGGAGGGACTGTGGGAATCTCTTGACATTCAGAGCACTGAGGCGCGGCACGTTCTGACCATGCTGATGCTGCGACCTGAAGCGTAACCCTTTACCCGTGCTTGCTTGAATGGCATCACTGTGACATTCAGAGCACTGGGCAGAAATCACAGCGGCTCGCTCACTCACATGAAAGCGGATAGCCCAGGGCCTCCAAAAGCCCTTAATTAAGGAATGTACCTTAAATTATAATCGGATCCCTAATATGATTGAAGGTACATTCCTTAATCAAGGGGTTTTGGAGGTTCTGGGAGTACGTAGGGAAAATCTCTTGACGTTCAGAGCACTGGGGCGCGGCACCTTCTGACCATCACAATGCTGCGACCTGAAGAGTTGCCCGTCACCCCCGCTGTTTGCCCGCGCTTGCTTGAATTGCATCACTGTGACATTCAGAGCACTGGGCAGAAATCACGGCGGAATTGCATCACTGTGACATTCAGAGCACTGGGCAGAAATCACGGCGGCTCGCTCACTCACGTGAAAAAGGCTAGTACGTAGGGACTTGACATTCAGAGCACTGAGGCGCGGCACCTTCTGACCATGCTGATGCTGCGACCTGAAGCGTTACCCTTTACCCGTGCTTGCTTGAATTGCATCACTGTGACATTCAGAGCACTGGGCAGAATCACAGCGGCTCGCTCACTCACATGAAAGCGGATAGCCCAGAGCCTCCAAAACCCCTTAATTAAGGAATACCTTAAATTATAATCGGATCCCTAATATGATTGAAGGTACATTCCTTAATTAAGGGGTTTTGGAGGTTCTGAGAGTACGTAGGGGCAGTGGGAATCTCTTGACGTTCAGAGCACTGGGGCGCGGCACCTTCTGACCATCACAATGCTGCGACCTGAAGAGTTACCCGTTACCCCCGCTGTTTGCCCGCGCTTGCTTGAATTGCATCACTGTGACATTCAGAGCCCTGGGCAGAAATCACGGCGGCTCGCTCACTCACGTGAAAGCGGCTACTACGTAGGGACAGTGGGAATCTCTTGACATTCAGAGCACTGGGGCGCGGCACCTTCTGACCATGCTGCTGGGTAGTTGGATGCCCTGCAAGCTCAAACATGAAAACAAGCAATCAACTGCAGACTGCTGGGTAGTTTGATGCTTCATATGCCTTCCGTCAAACTTGGCAGGCGCTAGCTGGGCAGTTGGATGCTCAGACTCGCACGCTGCACCGCGGATGCTGGGGTAGTTGGATGGCCTCCCAAACGTCAAACTTTGCAGGCAATGGGCAGCTGGATGCCCTCCACATTCAACTTAGGCTGTGGCTCTCTCAGGGTCGCATTCTGTAAGCGCTGGACAACGTTAGGTTGCACAAAGTGTCGGTCAGTCCTACCAACACGTGCCGCATCACTACTGTATAATGGCATGACAATGCTCTCGCACCCCGGAGGGTGGACTTGCAGCAAGCGCACAAAGCGTGACTGATGCCGTGCGCCGCAGGCACAAATCATACATGTGGGCACGACACAGCTCGGCAACACAACATGCGGAGCCTCTTTCGTGCACATGCTAAAGGGTCAACGAGTCAACAGCAAACCATCAAAGTTTTTGCGCCCCTCAAACCTAGCGTCTACG